GGGGGGGTTACTTGTCTTGCTATACACAACCTCTAGAATATAGCTTCTCCGGCGTAAAGGGGCTCTGGAATAAAGGCGCTCTGGAGTAAAGGGGCTTTTGAATAAAGGGTCTTCTGATTAAAGGGTCTCTGGAATAAAAGGGCTCTGGAATAAACTTGTCCTGAATCGTCTGTGCTTGTGCAAGTTTTGCTGCTCGCCCGTGTGCATTAGAGAATAGAAAAGACTTTGGGATAAACTTGTCATTAAATGATTGTGCTGTTTTGTACGGGGGAGCCATGTAAATGTGTAAGACGGGGACTCTGGGATTAACTTGCAAAACGAAGAGACAGGATAAATGAATGTATAGCCCAGCTGAAAGATTTGCTGCCAGAACATCTCAAGCTCACAGTAAGAGCTCTCATTTTCATATATAATTAATAGGCTCTAATATTTGACTACCATTCATTGATTTTTTTTCGGTGTGTCACTTAAGGATAAGAAACGATCGCTATGGCTTTTTTTGTGCCACGTTGGGGAAAGTGAAAGGTTGCTACTGCCCCAGATGGATGCATTAAAAGAAAAATAAATGTATGTTCTTCCTTGAGTCGTGTGAGTTAGTGCTAATACCACATCGATTTTTTTCCCCCTCTCCTTCTCCTTTCGCAGACGCTGGGGCACTTGGAAAAAGCGGTCGTGCTGGAGTTAACTTTGAAACACTTGAAGGGTTTGACGTCTCTGACCGAGCAGCAGCACCAGAAAATTATCTCCTTACAGAACGGTGAGTGACCAGACGATCTTTTTTCTCTCCTTCTTATTGATTTGACCGCAGACAACATCTCTTAAAGTGCGACGCCGTATCTGCAGGTCGTTTGTGGCTTCCAGAAACCTTCTGTTAACTTTTTTTTTGTGTTTGCAAAAATCCTGCTTGTGTTTCATATCTGCATTTCTCATTCCGTAATCTGATACTGTCACGCCAGCGAACACGTGAAACGACAGTAACGCCGCCTCCCTGATTAATATGGTAATATGAGGGAGGATGGTGAGATTGTCAACTTTGGAATTAGTATCCAGTAGCTGTTGTCTGTTGTGGTTGTATAGGATTCTAAAGTATCCAAACACTTATAGGTTGTTGAAGTAATAGGCAGAATTGAAACATTAGGGGGTTGTCTAGGTGGACACTTCAGGATCCTGTATAAGGTTAATCATCATTATTAGTTACTATACGGATTGTGTTTGTTGCCATTTGCCAGAAAGTTTCAAAAAAGTTTGTAATGTGTAGTCATTAGAAATGTACAGCTTCCCCTTTTAAGGCAAATAGTTTATTCCCAAAAATGCTACATAGAGGGCAACAAACCACAAATGTCAAACGCAAGTCACCGAATATATTTTGTTTCTGAGAAAAGGAATCCATTCGACTGGACATTGGTTGCCTATGCCATGTAGTGTTCTTTGCTCGAGAAGTCCATAAAAAATTCTATGTGGAGGGGAAAGGTGGAAGTTGGGTTTAATTGGATCTTGAAGAAGTTCTGGTGTCGAGATTTAGTACTGTATGAGCAGGTGACGGGCTTGTATTGACAATTCTCTTTCTCTGCTTTCCGTGAAACAGGCGAGCGTTCCATGAAATCTCCCCTCCAATCAGATCTGGATGCCTTTCATTCCGGTTTTCAGACCTGTGCCAAAGAAGTCCTACAGTACCTGTCGCGCTTCGAAAGCTGGACTAACCGCGATCAGAGGTGTACCCAGCTTCTCAACCACCTGCACACCGTGTCCAGCCAAATCCTACCCAGCTCTCAGCTTGTCCTACAGCAGGTGCCCGCCGGCAAGGCTTCTTCTCAGTCCCCCAGCCGAGGAATGCCTAAGGTAGCGAACCAAACAAACTGTGTGCCTGTTATCCAGAGGACGCATAACTTGGAGCTTAGCGAGAATGACACGGACACCGACAGCGGTTATGGAGGCGAAGGAGAAAAGTTGGAGTCGAAATCGGAGGGACAGAGCAATGTAGGAGTCAAGGGCCAAGGGGCCAATGGTGTGACCGTGAAACAGGAGCCACTGGATGAGCCTTCGCCCAAAAGGTTTAAGCCAGACTGCTCGGGGGCCAGCAACATGGCTGCTGGGACTGAATCAGACATGCGGCCAGACGCCAGTCTGCTTAACTCTTTAATGGGATTTGGAAGTAGCCCTTTCGGTCAGCAGGCCCCTTTCTGTTTACCATTTTACTTCATCTCGCCCTCAGCAGCTGCTGCCGCGGCAGCCTACATGCCCTTCTTAGACAAGGGCAGCTTGGAGAAGTACCTCTACCCAGCGGCCACTGCTGCTGCCACCCCCATCCCTTTCATCTACCCGGGTTTATCCGCCCAGGCGGCTGGCACTTTCCCATGTCTGTCCTCCGTCCTGTCCCCTGAGAAGTTGGCAAGCTGCGCAACTGCCCTTCTCCCCGACCTCCCCTCATCGCCCTTCCAGGCTGGTCCTGCCATGACCGACCTACAAGACCTCCGGCCGCCCACCAAGGAAAACTAAGACAAGGATGCAAAAAAAAAATTATCATGACCTATATCTATATATAAAGAGCCTCTCATTTTGTAGCAAGTCTTGTTTTACTGGATCAGCATTAGCCTTGTACATTGATGGGATAAAGACACTTTTATTAAGCTCACAAAAGTTGCTGGATGAGACAACCGGGGAAAAATGGACCTCCATCATAAATGGCTCAGCTACCCAGCAGCAGAAAATTAACTTTTTATTGACAGTGGTGTAATTTGCAACACACCAGAGCGCACTTTTGAAATTTGGAGCCAAAATCGAGCTGTTGCCCAGAGCAACTAGATCCGTTGCCTCCTGTGAAAGGTAAAACCAATCGACTTGCTATGGACAACAGCTCCAATTTTACTCCAGTGAAATTGTCAGCACCATGCAACAAGAAAATTGGGGTGATTTTGTGCTACTTAGCGCCTAAACATCTGATGCATTGCTGAGTGTGTAAAAAGGTGCATATAATTTACTTTCTATTTTTTATAGTAAAATCTTTTTTGGGTGATTTGCCCTGCCAAGTGATAGCTAAAGAAAGTTAGGTTTAGACGAACACTCCCCTCGAAATGTTAACTTTAACCAAATTGTGCTTTGATAATTGCAATCTTGCTCTTCGTGAGACACTATCTTTAAGCATAGCTGGTCATCAACATAGTATACCTACAAACAGACCCCTTTATGGCACCCAGAACTCTTAGCATAAAGGATGGTCAGCATAGGATGCCTACAAACTGACCCGTTTATGGCACCCAGAACTCTTAGCATAAAGGATGGTCAGCATAGGATGCCTACAAACTGACCCGTTTATGGCACCCAGAACTCTTAGCATAAAGGATGGTCAGCATAGGATGCCTACAAACTGACCCCTTTATGGCACCCAGAACTCTTAGCATAATTGGTGGTCAGCATAGAATGCCTACAAACTGACCCCATTATGGCACCCAGAACTCTTAGCATAAAGGATGGTCAGCATAGGATGCCTACAAACTGACCCCTTTATGGCACCCAGAACTCTTAGCATAATTGGTGGTCAGCATAGAATGCCTACAAACTGACCCCATTACAGTGCTCAGAGCTCTAAGCATAGCGGGAGGTCAGCATAGGCTGCCTACAAACTCACCCCATTATGGTACTCAAAACTCCTAGCATAATGGGTGGTCAGCATAGCACGCCTACAAACTGACTCCATTACAGTGCTTAGCTCTCTAAGCATAGAGGGTCATCAGCATAGGATGCCTACGAACTGACCCCATTGCAGTGCTCAGAGCTCTAAGCATAGCGGGTGGTCAGCATAGGATGCTTACAAACTCACCCCATTATGGTACTCAAAACTTTTATCATAACGTTTGGTCAGCATAGCACGCCTACAAACTCACCCCATTACAGTGCTCAGAGCTCTAAGCATAGAGGGTCATCAGCATAGGGTTCCTACAAACTCACCTCATTATGGTACTCAAAACTCTTAGCATAGCGGGTGGTCAGCACAGGCTGCCTACAAACTGACCCCATTACAGTGCTCAGAACTTTCTGTTGCTCGTGTGTTATCGCATAAGTGCTCCAAAAAATGTTAAATATTTAATCAACTTTAGCAGGCTAAGTTTTAAAATTGGGGGAAAAAAAAGCAAAGTTTTTATTTATTAACCTATAGCAACCTTATGGACCATACATCAGTTTAGAGCATTAGAACAATGAGAATGAGTCTTGGTCGGTTGCCATGGGTACACATTGCCCTTTTCCATGTTAAAGGAGAACTATGGGGTCAGTGTTTTTCCCCATAGTTCTCCTTAGGGTAACGGGAGGACACAAACTAGTGTACTTAAACAATCCAAAATGTTTGCTTTGTAACAATCTGGGAACCCCTGGCGGGCACTCTTTGAAAAGTGTAGATTTTTAATGCATATATTAAAAAGAAAAAGAAAATATTTGTAGCACCATAAAACTGCCCATGCACCTTTCAGTCCGATCGGTTGAAAGGTCGTTTTGATATCCCGATCACACCAATGGCCCAGCTTTCGATCAATTTTTGGATCTTACCAAAAGCAATTGGCTGTAAATGTTTGTTGCAGTGTTGTTTTAGCGTGTGTGATATAAGCAAAAACTTTTTTTTCACTGCAATTTATTTAAAAATATATATATATGATATATATACAAATATATGTAAATTAGACTTTTTTAAATAAAATCAAAACTTACCTTAAATTAAATAAAAAATATGAAAATAATCACTATTATATAGAAACAATTGCAATGAATTAAAAAGAAAATTGATGCATAAAAGGCCAGAATTGATATCATTATTTTTTTTTTCTGTCGTCAGTAGAAAATTCCTGGCTTTGAGATTGAACTGACTGACAATATGCTTAAAGGGGAACTCTGTCTACACTTACATTGACATCCCCCAATACAAGTACTTAGGGTTATTATTCCATGATGAAACACTGGACTAAATATGATCTCCCCCTGCTGGTCAGTTGCCATATCTAAGCCTTAGAAAACAAAGTCCATTTTAAACCCTTTCAACAATGTTCCACTGAATTATTTAAAGTAGAACTCCACTAAGCAGTATTTGTATCGAAAATGGCAACACCTCCCAAAACTGTAGTCATAAACTCCCTGCACTCCTTTTATATCAGTGAGCCTTTTCAGCAGTTTGTGGCTGCACTGTATTTATTTTATTGATGTATAGGAAGCTTGAAAAAAAGAGCAAAGGTCCCGAAAGCTTGCACCTTTAATTATAGGCATCACTTGAACTATAAACTTTTGATACATTGTAATTGATAAAAGCAAATTCCAGGTGCTACTTAAAATATGGCATCCAGAGCAACCCTTTAGACAGTGCATGGTACTCAGTAGAGTAGTAAATCTTTCAGTCGACATATTTCGGAAGGATATCATTTTCAAAGAGTGTCTGCCTATTTGCAGATCTGGTAGCTCACACTCTATCAGATGTGCTCTGTGCTAGGGATGCCAAATTTCACAAAACCCAAACGGGCTTTTGCTTTGTTTAACAGGGATACAGGGGATGCCAAATTGCACAAAACCTAATTGATCATGTGCTTTGTGTAACAGGGACACGGGGGATGCCAAATTTCCCAAAACTTAAATGGGCTTTTGCTTTGTTTGTTTAACAGGGATACAGGGGAGGCCAATTTTCACAAAACCCAATTGGTGATGTGCTTTATGTAACAGGGACACAGAAGATGCCAATTTCAAAACCCAAATGGGCTTCTGCTTTGTTTAACAGGGATACAGCGGTTGCCAATTTTTACAAAACCCAATTGATCATGTGCTTTGTGTAACAGGGACACAGGGGATGCCAATTTTAAAACCCAAATGAGCTTCTGCTTTGTTTAACAGGGATATAGGGGATGCCAATGTTCACAAAACCCAATTGGTCACGTGTTTTGTTTAACAGGGATACAGGGAATGCCAATGTTCAAAAAAAACGCAATTGATCGTGCGCTTTAAATAACAGGGACACAGGGGATGCCACATTTCTCAAAACCTAAATGGACTTCCCTGCTCTCTGTTAGGCTTCACTTAGCTGCTGTCAGTTATCCTGACATGCCCACAAAGCAGCGCAGACCCTGACATTGTGTGGGTGCCATAAAGTCGCTAACATGCACATTATCACTTCTACCAGAGCCAGCAAACCGAAAAGAATGCATTACATAACCGAGTTCAGAGATTTTAATAGCCCTTTTGTTGCAGTCCATAAGCAATCACTGAGAGCGGAGCGTGTTAACATGCCATCGTGTCATTAAGCAGGATTTTTTTTTTTCTTCACGGTTTACAATAGGCCAGGCAAGCCACCCGCTCCTAATAGCTAATTATTTCAGGTGCTGTTGCCATAAGCAGTTAAATATAACCGAGTTATAATTACGCCTTGTTTGGCCGAGAGAATATGGCGTTCCGAGCCTCCCATTCACCCGAAAATGAGTTCAGCTGACAGTATTATATAACTCCTCTTACGTAGGTGTTTAATTGGGCTAAACAAACCTCACCTCATGACCAAATCAAGTTAGTTTGCGCACCGTCTGCACAGTCTCGGTTGCACATCCACAGTCAATATTATTCTACAACCCCCGTGTCTCCATCTCTATGCAGTTTTAATGTTGGTCCTGTGTTTATGGCTATGAAAGAAAAAATCTTTTTTTTTTGCTGTATAAAAAACCTAAATTGTGTTACAAAAAATAGTCTAAAAAAAGAAATTCTCCCCTCCGGGTCAGAGCTGTCATTATGTTTTTTTTTTGCAGGGGATATAAAAAAAAAATTACAAAAAAAGCAGTATTTTTTTTTAAAAAATGTTGGGCTTTAAAGCTTTTTTAAAAAGCTTGGAAAAAAAAGGCGCAGTAGACTCCAAAACGTTGTAGTTTGTAGCACTTTAATTTTACCGGTTCCTGTTGAATTGTTTTCATGTTCCACTTTGTAGAATTGCACTCGGACCTGAGGTTCTTTATTTCTCTCTTCTCGAAATACTTGAAAGCGAGATTGAGTTTGACAATATCAGTGTATGTGTGGACGCAACGGTAGCACTTTAAGGCTTGACCGGTGGCGAGTGAAGTTTAGTTTTTATATAAAGTGTCTCTTTAAAGTGCACCTGTCACAGAATACGTTTGTTTCAGGGGCTCGGGCAGTAATTAGAACGGGGTGGGCAAACTCCAGCTCGCCCGCTGTTGTGAAACTACAAATCCCATGAGGCATTGCAAGTTTCTGACAGCCACAGACATGTCTCCCGGAGCGAGATACATGCTGGGATTTGCAGTTTCACCACCGCTGGAGGGCCGGAGTTTGCCCGCCCCTGAATTAGAAGGACGCAGCCTATTTGAAGGCACATTGTGAAGGCACGTCCTTATACTTCTAACCCAACTATAGATCATAGAGAGCAGATTGACTGCCTATTGGTTGCTCAAATAGCCCCCCCACACAACGGGTTCCTCTGACAGGTACACTTAAGTCATCGGTAGTAAAAGTGCATTTTATTCCAATATTCATTTTACTATTTTATATTTGCTCAAAAACAGTTTGTGCACTGAAAAAAATAATTATTTATTTGTATTTTTTCTTTGTAGTTTTTAGTAAGTCAATAAACTGGAAGACGGCTGTTGTTCGAACTTGGGCAAGTTTTGGCTCTGTGGTCCTGTGGAACTACACGTCTCAGCATGTTAAAGGGCTCATTTTGGGACTTGTGGTTGCTCATTGGTCTGTATGTAAACCTCTCATAACGAGACCTTTATGCTAAGGAGCTTGAGAG